CAGAGCCCAGGCACCGATAACGAATGTCCTCTGCCGTCGTTCGTCATCAACGAGCTCAACCCGACCACTGATAACAGTGGATACCAGTTTGTCGAGATTTTCGACGGCGGTCGAGGATTGAAAGCCACGGACGGCATTGTGTTGGTCGTTTACTTGGGAGCTGCTGCCCAGGACAACGCTGTCTTATCTGTCGATCTTACGGGTTACCGGACCGACCAAACTGGCTTCTTGGTTGTCGCCGCCAATGGAACAAACCTCGCCGATGTTATCGCTCCTGTGCGTTCACAACCTACTGCATTCCTACCTGTTCGTCAGCCAACGGGTGTTGCACTTCATTTAGGCCCACCGCAGAGGTTTGCAACAGACAAGCCCGTCACAGACTATAACTTAATCGATGCTGTTGTGTATCTTTATCAATGGGAGGTGGACGATGTGTTGGTTCAGCGGCTAACTCCGGGGCAGCATGTCGTGGTGGATTTGCCCTCATCCGACGGTCAGGAGTACTCTATCAGTCGTTGTTACTGCTGTTCAGTGCGCAATTCGTCAGTCTTTGGCAGAGGGCCAACTAGTCCAGGCAGAATCAATCGAGAGTGCCGCATAGCCAACCGCACTGTTCTCGAAGCGTCTTCTAGTACCGTCAGAATCAATGAACTTCACATCGGCACACCAGGATCAAATGATGGCGACTTAGTCGAAATTTACGATGGGGGCTTTGGACCACTTCCTCTTCTTGGTAAAACACTAGTGGTGTACACTGGCAGGCGGTAAGTTAGAAAGAATGTGCATGGGTCATATTTCTTTTTTCAAAATCTAGTTCTTTAATTCATATTTTGTTTGTCTAGATGGTCTTCTTATTGGAATAATGTTTTAAGTCATCAAATGCGCATTTTCAGCGGTAAAACTTATAAAAGTATACACAAAATAAAAAGTGGTCCTTAAGTTTTTTGAGAAGTGTATTTTCTCAACACAATACGACGTTTTTTTACAGGATCCTGCAAATGTGAAATAGGCAGAGAAAAAATACCTGGCTTACCAAGTCCAAGTCCGAAAAGTGTAAAAGTGGTTCTTAGGGATTCCATCTTTAAAACAGCCCCTACATTCGAATTTTTCAAAGATTTGTTTTTGGTACAACTTAACTGACATTGGAGGCCGTTTCAACGACTAAATATAAATCTATTACCTGACGTCTATTATACAACCAGAAGTATTGGTTAAAAGTCCAGATCTGAAAATCTTAGAGCAAATTGTAGCAACTATAGTAACCAATCGAAATCTGGTACATTTTCAACTTTTACTACTACAACCACTACGTCTCAGGACCAGTTCAATGCAGTTGGAAGATCAATGGTTGCCAGTTGTCGCACGATATCACAGTGCTCCGCAGGTAACTAGGATAACCTGCACGAATTTGCATTCGTGTGTAGTTTTGTGCATCTGCCATCCAGCTTGTTAGGTCTTTGCATCTTCACCCTTAATCTGCTACTGTTCTTGCATTTGCCCAAAAGAAATATCTCATCTGTAGGGTAATCCCGAGTACGTACTGGGTTTGCATTGCCATCAAGGTCAAAATGTTCATGCTTTTAGATAGGGGAGGGTTACAAAGACGATATTTGGGTAAGCTTTTGATAATGTATTCATCAATCACGTGATACCACGTCACATTAAGTAATAACCTTCAAGAGCAATCATCGTTGACAAGAATGCAAAGATGTATTTTCCACAGAGCTATCCATTCCAATAAAACAAGGGACACGTTATGCGTTCGGGTTATGTAGTTGCAGTGGTATATGCACATGTAATGCGTTCACGTGACATGACCTGAAAGGTCCATTCTTCAAGGTCGATATCGTCAGGAAAAAAATCCGTTCGGATTAATAGTGAATGCGTTCAAAGAAAGGATTACCTGCAATATTATGATATTATGTAAAATAGCAATGTTTATCATACGATCATTTGGCATGCAATGCAAATTCATAGGTGCTCCCTTCAAATTCGAATATCTTCAGGGATGGAAATTCGCTGAAATGGTAAACTACATTGCCCATTTGTTTTTCTGTGCCAGTGTTCATTTATTTTTATTTAACGCGCTTCTACATTAGCTTCAATTACCCGACTGCCACAGCTTCTTACAATAAAGAAAACACCCTGGTTGCTTTAAAGGAGAATATATGGGTTTGTGTTCAAATGGACCCATTACCGAAAACGAAAGGGTCCCATTAATTTGTACAGTTTCCAAAGACTTGGCTATAAAGGGGAAGTTCCTCTAGATCACAAGAAACCAAGGCACGAAGAATGGGTGTCAATGATTGGAGTCGCTTGGACATGTATTCAATCCCTGCACGCAGAACCATGAAAGGGTGGCTATGCCGTACATGTCGTTCTACGGTTTTAATAGTTTACTTTTGTAGTAGCCCAATGGTATATTTTTTCTGCAAACACATAAAACTGTAGTATTCCAGACTGTAACGACACTGTCTATTATGTGTTTGTTGGTGGAAAATGCACGGTGTCTATGTACAGTTTACTCAGGCTACAAAACGCAATCCAAATGCACTATCACTTCTGCTTATTGCCAAATATTCTTTATCAGCAGGCCTTACAGAATTGTAGACCTCTCGGAATCACTGACGAACAGCGACGGCTTTGCTGTGATTGCGCCCCCTTCTGTCATTCCTTCATCCACGTTCAGTTTGCTGGCTGATGATTGGCTCAGAGCTGGACTTGATGAGCAGCAGGTGGGAGGTGCTGTGGCACTTTACGAGGTATCAGTTACTATGTTATAAGTCACCCCATAACGCGTGATATTAGACTCATTTCTTTTTCAGAAGAGCTTTTAATGAATCTTCTTCTATAGATGTGCGAAGCCACCCGATTCGACTACCCACTGCTACTTTTAAGTGGGGTTGCACCCCAAATACGTCTTGCTTTGAGTAGGTCGGTATCATAGGATCATAGCATGGACTACGTTCGCCACAAGTTGAAGGCTAGACCGGTTTTAGCTTGTTCACCGCAGCAGTAACTTTCTGTTGTGTGGCATGTGGGTTGCTTTTCATGCCATGCTTACAAGTGTGGCGAACGTAGTCCTGCTACGATCCAATAATTCCAACCTGCTTATACCATGACGAATTTGGTGTGCAAGCCCTACTTATAAGTAGCTTTGGGTAGTCGGATCGGGTGGCGAAGCACAATGTATCTTCGTCCTGTCAGGTAGATTTTTTTACCGTTGTACATTTGAATACCATAGTAATTAAACATCAACGCTTGCTGTCAATTCTGTGTATGAAGCACTACTTTTTAATAAAAGTTGGCATAAATTTCCATTTGTTTGTAAGAAATATATTTCACACGAAGCGGTGGTGCACCCAAATTTGTCCTTTCTGTTGGGAGGGAGGCTTAGACCAAACTGTATCCGAAAGTAGCTCATGATGCTCAAGCCCATCTCTCCTGTTGCCCCACTGGGTGGTAATTTGATTTGTCTTGAACTCCAAAGATCAAATTTACTTAGGCACATTATTAGCCATCGTAAACTGTTACACTATTCAGCATCTTGTGAAGAAGTTATTAAAGCTGGCATAAACTCCCAGTCTTTGGTAGGTATTATCGTTATCATGAAGCGACAGAAACGATTGGTGGACGAATTTTCCTCCCTACTCCAGCGACCTGCAGCCAGTTTTGATGCTGAGGATGGACCCAAGACAGACGGCCTGCTGGATGCAGTGGTTTTCGGCAACTCTACTATGGCGTCAGAACTACTGAACATTCTTTCACCCGGCCAAACCTTGATACACAGCTTTTTACCAGTAACAAGTAGGTTTGAAAGCAGTCGTTAAAGATCAGGTTGACCTAAGCTTGCAGTGATCTAGCTCAAACAAATATCTACCAAGAAAATACTTATTTTTGAACCAAATTAAATTCTAATTTTTTCTCTTCATAGCTTGATTTCCAATCGTCCTCTTTAGGCTTTTTCATCACATGCACTTCAAAAGCAAAAAGAGCAAATTTTACTTATTGACCCCTTGTGTAAATACACAAAAAATTGGTTCACACTATAACCTGTAATAACTGTGATTTGGAATCCCATTTTAACCACGTTTTGAATGTCTACAGTCAAATTTTGGCTTGCGATGATTGCGTCTAAATACGTCCAGCCCTTGATCGCGCTATCCAAAGTGGAAAGGGATTTAAATATTGCAGGTCTAGCGATGCAGTTTTGCTAAGGACACTTTTGGTAACTTTATATATTTATTTGACTGTACAATGCAATTTCACACACTTTTGGGGTTGAGTATATTGGAAGCTCATTATTTCAACCATCCAGAATTGCCGCGACTTTTTTGGACTTAATAAGAGGGCGATGTTTTGTTGATGTCAAGTTATTTTTTAGTTCCAATTCATATTTCGAAGTCAAACTTGACTCCTTACAAACATTTTGGACAAGGGTTGTTCTGTGGTAAAATATCAAATATCCAGTTGTTTTACAATCTTCACTTTTGCAACATGTAAGCCTGGAATGATATCAAAGGTTTGTATTGGTCCTGAATATTTAAATTCGCATTGTCATAAAAACAGACAAGACAACAGAATTAATATGTAAGCTACCTGAAACACAAAGCTGCATATTTAAGGATTGTAGGTTAGAATTCTGTTGAATAGACCCTTTCGGTGGCTGTTTTTCTACTGTTAGCTATCCACCTTGAGAAGAAGCACCCCTTCATCCTTCATCAGATCATCGGTTGAAAAGTGCCATGTCGGTAGGGCGAGTTCATTTTGTTGGTGGCAACGAGACCATAAGGCGTGCGTATAGTCGTTTGTGAACCAGCAAAGTGCAGTTCCCGCTAAAGGAGCCTCCGTTGCAAGGAAAATGGGTCTCGCTCGAGCCTCAAACTTGATGAGAGGCCTCAACGTTCCCATCCCAGATTTACTCATATGCTGTGATGAAAAAAATTATTGTAGATATTCACATTACTGAATAAATGCATTTTTTCCCGCCAATGCAACAGCTTCATCTGCACTGAGATGTTACTCCCATACTCCACTTGACCAGGTTGCATTCGCCCCAGGTCCACCGTCGCCTTTAGCTCCAAACTCTTGCCCCCCTCCGCCGTGTCTTTTGAACGAGATCAACTCGCTCCGCTCGTCAGCTACGGGTGTCTGGATGGAAGTTTCCTGTGAGGGACTTCCAAATTTTCCCTTGGACACAGTTATTGGTGTAAGCATACCTTTTGATTATTTGACACAGCGGCATTCGAGACAGTGAGTTTTGGGGGTATTTTCATAAAAAAAAAACTGAACAGGGAAATAGAGTATAACCTCTGTGGCAACAATTCAAATTATTCTGGACCCATTTTTAACAGTTTCTGTTGCTAGTCGTAGGGATGCATCCATCAAAATCCAGGGCCATAGCCTTTTGTTTTAGTATCAGCTGAAAGTTTGTCATATATCATGTGCAAATTGGTGTGGCCATGGAGGAATAATTAATTTCTATTCATCCATGATCTGCCACTCTCAGTTCAAGGTTGGGAAAACGTTGATGTGTAATTCCTACTGAAAAGTTTCATTCATTGATAAGGTATTATTATGTTCACCGTGGGCTTGAAAACTTATCTACATACGACATTTTGCAAGAACAATTTTCCATGGTTTCTTTAATTTGGGGGATACATGTATTCCCTGTCATACTGAAGAATTAATACATGTACCCTCCAAATTGGAACTCTGAGGACGATTTCATTGTCTTCTACTTAGGTATGGTGGCAAGTTGGACTTGACATGGGTATTGCGAGGTCGTTTGCCGGTTTTAAGACCAACAAAGACGGTTTTATCTCCCGTAACATGAGACGTTTGGGAACAAACCGTCATTTTGCACTGAGCCTGTACTTTCTCCCAGACGCCACCGACTTGTTTAACGATGCTGGCGCCGTCAGGTTAACCAGCAGTGGGTTGCTTGGTGCCATCGTGGTTAGTCAGGAAGGCGGAATGGGAGACCCATCAGCCTTGACAAACATCTTAACCCCAGGAAAGGCGCCCGTTCAGGAGCAGGAAGCCTTCAGCCACAGGGACGAATCCCTTAGCCGCTGTCTGGTGGGGGGCGAATGGGCCTTCGTTCTCGCCCACGTCTCTAGGGACGCGGCCAACCACTGCCCCACCAGGGCTAATCTAGACCTTGTCATTAACGAGATTAGCTTATCGGATCAGTTCATCGAACTCTTTGATCTGGGCGGCGGATATTCGCTTTTGGGTAAGAAACATTATTCTAACGCACCAGCGGTGCAGTACCAAGATACTTCAAGTATCAGCATACGGTTCAACATGGGTTTATAGCTCAGAGGTTGTTTTTCAAGCCTGTCCTGCAGGACACACTGGATTTAACACTAGAATACATTAAAGGGTCATGACATGTCGTTTTACCGGATTCCATTTTGGCAAAGATTGGTCCCTTTTCGCATTTAGCAGTGTACAATGGATTTGTGGAGGCTGCTTGGAGAAAAATGAAATGGTTTAAAAATTAGCAGGGCCTTTGTACGCCCATACATGTAAATTACTTTACTTTGCAAGTTCGCTGACAATCCCAGGAAGAGTGGTTTTTTAAAACAAAAGTTTAACAATCATGTTTCATGAAGACCTGTTTTATGTTATCCACTCATTAGCAAATCTTTTCTCCCCTCTCGTCTTTGTATTTCTGTTCGCAGATGAGTTCATGGTCGTTTTGTGCAGTGCCACAGGGGTGGCACTGCAGGTCATCCGACTGGCCGGATACACCACCGACGCCAATGGTTACTTCATTCTTGGGGCATCACATACACTCAACCCCGGCAGTAGTCACTACATACTTGCTGCAGGTCACCATGCAGTCGTTATTTTCCAATTTCAAAACCCAGCTGAGTCGCTTGGTTGGGGCTGCACCCTTTTGTCATTTTTTCTATCTCTCTTTTCGGATTCATATTTCACATTCGCCTCCAATCTTTACCTAATACCACAAAGCTCGATGTCTGAAGCAAAACATGTGATGTATATGCTATATATAACATACATATATACCTGCATTGAGACTTTATTGCAATCTTGACTTTGTGAGTAGGCCTAACTTCATCCTGTTATTCGGATTCCGAAGCCTCACGCTCGTTATTTTGGCTTGGCTCTGGATGCGGGAGACATGTACATTGCGCATAAGTTTGTTAACCGTCTCAGAAACACCCGCTCTCATGACTTGGATTATGTAAGTTTTGACACGTTTTGACTGCCACCGGCTAGCGTGTCCAGTACACCTCTGTGTTGAATACGGTGCCAGCGTAATTCTGCAAAAGAAGTTGCTTTTTAACAGTAAAGTGGAAACTTGTTCTGCATCCAGGTTTCATAGACTCACTTGCCGGGGGCGTAGCCCTTTACAGATCGAGGGATGACTCATTTACACTAGCGGTGGGAGACCAGCTACCCATTCATCAGGCTCTAGTGGATGCTGTTATCTACAGAAATGAGGAAGGGAGCCTGGATACCGCTCTTAAGTCATTGATTTCAGACGAAAGCTCTGTAGAAGTAAGACATATTTTATGTCAGCAGCCCGTACAGTATATTCTTCAGTGTTCTTCCTCGTATTGAGGCTGATTTGACTCACCACCATCTTTCCGGGGTTTTAATCAGTGATGAATTTCAAGTACATTAGTAAAAATGATGTTATAGTTGAGATGTTTAGAGGGAAAGGGCGTCATAATGAAAGGAAAATGAATTGTAAGAACAGAGAAAGATGCCACACAATCAGTGCAAAGCAAGTATCTTTCAACCAACCATACGTCGGTGTTTTGAAAAGGTAAGATATACAGACTGGTCAGTTCGGCTTTTACTCTGGTCTCCATGAGGTAAGTTCAGCGATGAGATTTAAAATTATAGGAAAAACGTCGTTGGACAATATACTGTATAGTCTTATTAGTCGACGCTTTGTTAACCTCTTATCTGCTTAATTTATCCTCGGTTCAGCTCATTTCAAGTGATCGGCATTTCAGCCGCTGCTTCTCCGGTGAATTGCGCTCCACCGGGGCCTTCAGCGGTGGTCGTCCCCCGACCGTGGCAGCCATGAATGACTGCCCAGTGTTTGCCGACCAGGATGTTGTCATCAACGAGTTCAACTTCGCAGAGCCGTCGGGGACTCTCCAGGCGTACGTGGAGCTGTATGACGGAGGGGTTGGCAACACGCCTCTCACGTACATCACGTTGGTAGCCTTTGCTGCCAGTGATAACAACGGAGCATACCGAACCGCTGACCTAAGCGGCTACCGTACCAATGAGCAAGGCTACTTCTTGATAGGCTCTCAAGATTCAGGTACAGATGGACTGAATTGGGGTATTGTTCAGGAAATGACTAGATTTAGGCAATCTGCACTATAGAAACGCATGAACCGAACTGAATTGAAGTCAGGATGAAAATTTGCTCTGTCCTCTAAATGAAAAAATTGCATATTATGCGTGACATCATTAACCAGGGGCAAAATGCAATTTAGACTCAAATTTCGGGTCAGTGTATTTGACCTGGTGTTTTTCAAAGTAATAAAGGTGTGCATATTATTCGGTTAGACAAAGAAGCGAAATGAGCCCCACATAACGGCTGAGTTGACCAGCAAGCCTGGTAAAGATGCTTTTATAGGATTTATTTTGGATGACACCAGTAAGTTACATTACGAATCAGGTAATGGCCAACCAGAAGACTGGGCGTAATTACAGTACCGACTGAAAAAGGGGTTACCCGTGTATGTTTGAGTTATGGAATTCACCAATACCGACGTACCCATTACATTAACGTTCAATCCAGTTGACTTGACGTGACTGCATTACCAGCAGATTCGGAATTGAGCCTAGTCTTTTTTACCGTCTAGAGTACACTTCCCAGGAAAGGAAAGCCGACTAGTGAATAACTTCCACAGTGGACAAAATACAACCAAACGGAAACCCAGTCAGACAAATAAGCGAAAATCAGACAAATACAAGCTTTGACCCTGGAATTTTAACTGCATGAGGCAGGCATGCATTTTACCCTTCGCTGTATTTCCAGTTACATGTATATTGTTCTTTTTTTTCTCATGTAATACCGGCCCCAGCTGATCTGGTGGTTGCGCTGGAGCGCACGTATGGAACTACTGTTCTCTCCCATGGCGCCGGTGCTATCGCCCTTTATCGGTCGGCTCCAGGCGTTTTTTACCACGGGGCACCAGCAACCAAGCGAAGCCTTGTTGATGCTGTCGTATACACTTTAGATGCGGAGGAAGGAACGACGCTTGTGGACGATCTCTTGCCGACAGGTAACACAAGCATGAATGTCTTTCTGAAAATTAGTTCACATTTAAATATTTGTCAATTTTTCAGCATGTCAAATCCAAAACCATTTTTAAATCTACTGGTGTTTTTATGTCATGATCAGTCCGATACAGGTCATGTGCAATACGATCACTGATGGACTCCGTATAAATTAGGTGCATTTTTGAGGTGAGATATCTTTCGTTTCTGACAGGTAGTTCTATCATCTACGAGGACGAGAGTTTAGAGGAAGAAGACGAGTCTGATGAAAGCATCAGTCGGTGTTTCGATGACAACAGGTTGAGCCAGAGTGCTTTTCGGATGAGTCAGCAGTCACCAAAGGGCCCCAATTTGTGCGGCCAGGAAGAGACCGGCGATGATGCAACAGGTTATAATCAGCTTTACCTATGACATTGTGCTGCCAGACTTTGTAATTCCAGTGACGTCGACTTGTTTTTGCATCACATTAAAACAAGAATCGACAGTTACAAATGAATTTGGTCAAGTGAAGTTACTTGACCTGATGATAGCATGCGTTTCCTTAATCATGTTGTTTCGTTAAGCAGCCAAACAGAGGACGTTTTATTCGTTACAGCAACAGAAGCATTCATTAAAAATGTGCAATAAACTATATGCAGTACATTACAATAAAACACAAAATGGTTTCATTTAGACATCTGTTTTATATACATGTACATCTGTCTTTTTCACAATACTTGCCGGATATCTCAACGGACAGTATTTTTGTCACCTTGATCAGATGGTTTGCCGGAATGACATAAATGTTATCCTTTGAAATAGTGACCTATTCAAATTTGTCAGCAAAACTAATCAAATCCTGACATTTTAGACAAGTTTGCCAATTCTAATTATGACTCCATGACACGTTCTCGCTATGAAGCAGTGTTTCGGACGGTTTACTTCTTCAGGACTTTTCATCAGTGAAATGAATGTAAAGTCCGCCACCGGCCTCGGCTTCGTTGAGCTCTATAACGGTAGTCCTGACATCATTTCCCTGGATGGATATGTGCTCATCTTCTACGAAGGTCATCGTGACCGATCTGTCTACGAAATCGACTTGAGGGGGAAACGGTATGTGTACTTGGATTTTCACAATGAAACCTGGCATTCGAAAAATCACAGCTGTAGCGACTGCAGTTGCAGCTACGGCCTCAGCAATAACAGTAACCTTATTTGTTTTAATTGCAAAATCAAGCCTTGCTTTTGTACTTTTATTTTCCTCGAGCTAAGACAAAAGTGTCAACTTTCTCGTGTTTTCTCAAACACAAATCAGAATTAGTCCACTGGGTTATTTGGTCATCGGCGAGTCAGGTGTCACTCCAACACCAGACGTCATCGTGGACAACCTGGCATTCTTGAGCGGGCCTGGTGCGGTTGCCGTCTACTGGGGAGGCCTCGACTCGTACCCACGAGGCACGGTTGCAACTTCGCAGTCACTCGTCGACGTGGTGGTGTACGGAGAACCAGACAGGCGGGCGGACGGGCTCATAGGCAAGCTCGTGCCGGGGCAAATACAGGCCTACGAAAACACGGAGACGGTGTATGGTGAGGATGTGTCGCTTTCCAGGTGCATATCGAGCGCTCCGCTGACACTGGCAGCCTTTGTGTCGGCAAGGAAGACTCCAGGTTAGTAAAGGAATCGATGCTTATGGATCTATATGGAAAGACTTCCGGTTCGTAAAGGAATCGATTCTCGTGTTTCGGGGTCGTCAGAGGGTAAGATCTCAAGCATGCGTCTGAGGCATATGAAAAGACATGGTACCGTTTATGGTATAATTCCCTTAGGAGTATAATGATGCGTTGCCTATTGTCAAATAGGCCTACCCAGTCTTCGTTTACCCTTGAAATGGACTCTCTGTAGTCACTGTGTCCAACATGAAGATAGGTTGGTCATGCCCGAAATAAAAGACCAAATTTAATAACTTTTCCTCGCGAAATGATATCTAAAATGCATGTATATTGACAGAGCCACTTCAACCAAGTTACTTTACATCCAATCAAATCTAGACGATGTAACAATCTAAATAACAGATGACTTCCAATTATGAGGACTTGCTGAAGGTGCCCCCTTGCCGGATTTTTTCCCAGTTAGAATACATATCTTGTTGAATGACCATCATGTTTCGTGATTAACATTTATGCATATTCAAATTGTTTCAGGTGTAACAAATTTGAACTGAGCCGTGCAATTTAGATTCATTTTTTTTCTCTCAATCATGTCAATACAGGCTCCCCCAACAATTGTGATGCGTTGTATCGGCCTGTTTTCATCAACGAAATAAGTCCCTACGGTTCAAGGTCGGATAAGTTCATTGAGTTGTACGATGGAGGACAAGGTCACAGTTCTTTGGACGCTCTTGTCCTGTTGCTCCTTGTGGAAGGGTTCAATATACCATACAGCGTGATACCAATAACTGGAAACCAGACTGACAGGTATATATAGGAACAACGTACTTCAGACATTAATGCAAACGAGCCAGTTCGGTATTCCAAATGCGCCTTGCTTGAAGTGCGTCCAAAGCCATCCGGTTCGTATTAAAGTGACTTCATCACAAAGGCTGACGCGCCACGATTCGCAGGCTCCCAATGGACGATCGCAAAAGTTGCGTGTTAACAAGTTCCACATAAATGGCGATCAATGCATGAGCATGTGCAGTGGGCTTGGTTTAAACTGAGGGGATGTCACACTTACGAACCGGATAGCACTCGTGAAACATTCTCACGCAGCAGTACGCCTGCTCATGCGCGCACTTTCTTCCCGGATGACCTTGGCGTTTTGCAATACTGAATTGGCTTAAGGCAATGCACAAGCACAGGATGTCCCTCCAACAGGATTCAAGGAAGCAATGTAAAAAATGCCAACTGGCGGTGCACAGTTTTGAAAAGGTGGTGCAGTGGTTTAGCTTAGTGATGCTAAGACATCGACTGTTGAACCCGAATGAAATACACGATACACCAAGCACAGTGAATTCACTTCTTTAGCAAGGCTCATTTATCAACAGATCCTTACCATGCACATTTGTGTTCTCTCCTCTGGACTCAAGAAGTCATTAGTATTATAATGACTCGCGGCTGAATTTTATTTCTTTTGGTTCTTGTTTCAGTTACGGATACTACTTGATCAACAACATTCCAGAGCTTCGGCTCAACGGTTCAGTTGCCCTTCACCGGGGAGACTATGCCCTGTTTCGCGCCTATCATGCACCGAGTGGCTCTGAAGTGACCAGGCAGGCCTACAGTACAGCTGGTTTAGATATGACTCTACTCAGGGGCACGTAAGCTCAAATTAATTGGCTGGTTCAATTGAACACGTCTAATATTTTTAAATGGTCAAATGCCAATACGGGTATCATACCAATATACTGGTTATCAAAAAAGGTTTTGAAAAATTAAATGTACGAGTTCATATAAGAAATATCTGCTATGTTTGTTCTTTCTCAACGATAACATTCACTTCATAAAATAATGTCCATCAAACATTACTTTTGCTGTATTTGAATTACTTCCCTCACTCCCTCCCCCCTCTCTCTTTTAGTTTGACCGCAACGAGGAAAACGTTCTCTCGCTGTCAAAGTTGTCCGCCATCTGAACGTCTGTATCTAACATTGGCCCCTGCGACACCCGGCTACACGAATTGGTGCCCAAACTCTGACCACGACATCCGAGTTTCTCTCACCCTGACCGATGCTTCGTATGACGTCTGGCGATCAAATGCCCGCTTGACGTCGTCCCTGGAGAGGATCGTAACGACTGGTATCGAAACCAAGTGTCGATGCGGTTTCAGCGAGGGATATGTCTGTGGTTAGTCCTTTTTGTAAAATCTAAAAGGCCTATTTTTGGTACCGGAGAACAACGGTAGATTGAGAGTTCCTCATTTTGCCGAAACAGGATGTACCTGTTGGAGTCTAGGCCTATACATCCCTTATAGTTTCAAACTTCTCAGGCTTTTTTCTTCACTCCATGTACACAGTGTGAGTTATGTGAAGGGTTACGAGGAAGCGGGATTTCCAATACAGATTGCGATCTTCTTGCCTTGAAATTACAGCTGTATTATATCCGCGTTCCGTGGGCAACTAGTAAAACTATCACCATAGTTTCATTGGCAAGTTTCCAAATTGCAAAGTTCTTCGGTGTTTGCTTCACTGACGGCTTGAACAATTTAATTATTTCAAAGGTTTTATATTAAACCATGTTGCCCAACCAATATAGACAACGATCTTTATGAGTTCCTGTGTTTATGTTAGAATCTTCCCCTGAGTGTTACTCGCTTTGTTATTTCCTTGTTGCTCCAAAAAGGCCAAAAGTTGCTTCGCGGTAGTGTGGTTTACCAAGCTGATATGTATGCCACTGACTCCGACCAGGCCAGACTGCTGGACGATAGCTTCCGTGCGTTCCTCTCGGAAACAGGCACGATAACTGTGGGTGGGAAAACCTACTCTGTCGCTGAAGCTGGTGATAAAAATGCACCGCCAACGAGTGGTAAGTGACACCTGCTACGCAGCCTCCGATCATTATCACAAACCAGGAAGTTTCAAAAAGGCTGTTTACCTGTCTAAATAATGACCACTTGCTCAGGCGCTGGAGCCCCGGGAGTTATTAGCTGGAGGGTGCTGCTTTGAACCCTGTGTTTTAAAATTCCCTTCAGAGAGAGATGAAGGAAGCGCAAATTCATAGCTTTTGCTTGTGTTTCTAACGCTTTCCTTGTATCACTTTAAAGACAAAGCATATTTTTAAGCAGACCCACAAAAACTAATTCTTTTTTGATACACGACATTGAACAAACCCCATAGGGAGACTGACTAGGTGTTCGCAAAGAAATTGCCCGGAGCGTGATTTGAACCTGCGACCACTGAATACGACAATTATACGTTGGGTAGCAGGAGGCATAGTTAGGGTCAAACACATGCGTTGCGAGACGGTAAGACATCTCTTTAGTTAAAAGGTCCGTTTTGTTGGTTTTCACCTTACCCATTCTGTTCCTTTCTGACTGTAGGTTCCCCTGTGCGAGTGGCTGTCGTTGTGCCTGTGGTACTTGCCGCCATAATAGTAATCATCGCACTAAGTGTGGCTGTTGGATGCTTCATCAAGAAAGGGTATCAGGAAATTACTTACAGTTATTCACTTATGAGCAATGCATTTTTCACAGATTGGGCCAATGCTAGATGAACTGGTAGAAAGTTGCACCACTTTGTGCCTCATGCCTAAATCTAAAACGCTAAAAATGTGAGGAGTTCATCACCAAAACTTTCAAGTTTTGGTGATGGTGAATTTTGGTGAACACAAAAACGTTCGAGTGGATGCCTTATCGAAGAATAATGTACGGAAGATATAATGTCGTCAGCTTTTTGAAAAGGGGCACCATTTCGAAAGCCCGAACAAGCCACTTGTGACTTCCAAGCGCCGTGGCCAAGACTTTTGGATGCAGCTCAAGTTCAGCTTAACTTTCACCACTTCTACAGACCTGGCCTCGTATTCAGCTGTACGCTTCTGTACTGTCACTTCAACTTCTCGGTTCGGCCTCATTTTGGGGAACTCTGGCTTGACTACGGGCCGTATTTTCTTATGCTACAGGATCACAAACCTCTAACTATCTTGAGACCACGACCTCAACTCAAATTAACTTTCCTATACAAAAAACAAGGCTTCTCTTTTCGTAAAGGGATATCTGACTGCTTCGGGAGGAAGGTTTTAAAACCTCCTCCCGAAGTAGTCAGATATTACCATTTGGGTAGTTTCCAATCGACCCTTTGGTTGTTTATTTTTTTTTAAAAATGACCCTTTTACTGAGGCAGTTTGAGTACTTCCCCCGTGCCGTGACAGACAGCTAAATGAATTGCAAGTGATCTGAACAACACTGAGTTGTCAGTTGCCCTGGTGCTTTCATATATATTGGTTGCTTTACTCCCAATAAAATGCAAGGCAGTCGGGGCACTGAAATCTATGTTGATCAGTCGCTGTGGATGCGCACTGTGATTTGCCACTAAAGCCTGGTCTCCATATCGACGTAAGAAACTCAGAGAGCAACGCAATTAAGACGCCAACAACGCAGACAAATGGAAACAGGTCAAACGGAAGCGTCGCCACAAACGCAAACCAGACCCAGAGAGATCGGCAAAGTTAAGCCCGGTTCAACTTTGCCAACTGTCTGCGTCTTGACGTCTTGCGGACTGTCTGCGATACAAATGACCATATGGAAACCAGACTTAAGTGTCGGCCATGAGACCCCGACTAGTTCTCGTGCATATTTTGATTTGTGTGGTGGTTTCTTCCCTTTTGTCTCCAGGCAATCAGCATCCAGCTCCGATGACGACATCAAGCTGGAGGAACCTAATCAAAACGTGGAATTTGACAACCTTGGTTACAGTGGCCAGCCGTGAAAAAACGACAGGCCCAGAACAAATTGGAATTTCGGTTTTCGGGTTGGCTTTAGCCACCTTCCCGAACATAGAGTGGTGGTGGGTTAAGTCATAATAACTTGCTGAAGTCGTATAACTCCTTCAAAGTAATAAGTACTAATTCAAAGTAATTATAGGTGTGGTTCAGTTCAAGTAAACGTAATGCCACTTTATTCCTTAACCGATTTTCTTTTCAAGTCATTCGGTAAACCATACATGCAAACGAATTTGCCCATTCAATTATATGAGGTTGACTGAATAAACAGCTTTCATCGGGTTTGAGTAAACTCCTTGTTAATGTTATTTACAAATATGTACACTCATACTATTTCTAACCAAACCCATGATTGTGGAATGGGACACTCAGCTAGTTACAAGTATTTTAGAATTCAAAATAATGTTGTCTAATACTGGTATATCGGAATTACTAAAACTAGTATAAGTAATATACTAACCCATAGACTGATCCGATGACAAGAATCAGGAGCTATTACTGCAGTGGGTGAGATGCACATTGTGCACTACTAACCAAAACCACGCCCTCGTCAAGCTAAGGAATGCACGCCTGAGTGACAGGGACACCGCAGTAATGGCGTCAGCGAATCGGTCTATACTATATACGGTTCTAATACAATCAAAAAACAAAAACTACCAGTACGCAACCAATGGTCCGCAGTAAGAAATAATAATTACATTCACTGAGTCTCTACGGGGGGGGATGTGGAAGTAAGCTCAAGGAATGGGAAAGGCAAATTATGTGATACTTTTTCAAGAAGCCATAAGTTAAATTTGAATAAAATATGGTACACTGAGTTATCTGATTGCATATAAAAATAACGATTTGAATTCTCCAGACTAAAGACACTGTTGCTATTACCTTGTGATTCGGGGCAAGCGTTTGCATAGCCACCACCACCTCTGGAATGGACTGGTTTTAATGGGTTGAAGTACATACGTGGACTAAAAAGGTCTGTAGTCACTGGTATTAACGTCCCTACGGTCACTTGAAGACTTTTAGCTGTCTATTCTCACGAGTTGTTAGCTATAGCTGCACATTTTAAAGCATAGTAATGTAGGGATATAGGGTTTCTCCGGTGAGATAATTACTTTTGATGCGAATGTGAACTCTGATGGCCTGGTGGTCTCTGGCACGAGATCAATGCATGAGGATTAGCGCCCTTGCCGTGTGCAGACTTAAATTATCTCCAAAATTGCTGGAGACCTGGAGAAGTTTCTGGACTTTTCTCAGTGACAGTTCCCACGCTTGAGACCTGCACCTTGGTAAGCTGGCGGTAACAGCAAGATGGCTCCTTGTGGGATAACCTTAGCCCTAAATTTCCGTTGGCTTTAGGGTTCATACCAATTTGGGCAAACTTTTAGATGTCAGGGTAATAGAATTTATGATTGTACAGAGACATTTCGTAGTATGAATTTATCATGGACATAGCAAATGTAACGTTTATTACGATGTGTATGTAAGCCATCACTCAATAATAGTATGTCCTCTGTCTTTCTTTCGGTTTTTTCTTGGCTTCCTTTTGGTTACAATTTCATTGCTGATTGACACCTGGGAATAAATTGAAGGGAATCAAGCCACAGTCGCCTCGAGTCCAGTTTTTGCCTGGTTCTGCGCCTCCTATCCTCCTTAATTGGCGGACGGATCTCCACCCTCCTGATAACTGCAGAAGGACCGGTCCGCTACAGTAATAAACATAATCATTAGCAAAGGTATCAGTCGTTCTGGCGTACAAGTTCCGGTAGTCAGTCTCTTCAAATATGAAAAAAATGCAAGAAATGAAGATTTGGTCGGTGTCTTATATAATGTAATTTCACTCACACACACTTCATTATTCATGTCGTTCTAACCCTGAAACCAAAATTTACAAAAGGAAACCAGATCCAGTGGGAGGTTGTCTCTCCCCTCCCCGGCTCACTGCTATCTGTCTTTGTCTTCCTTACGTGGCTTACGTCTGATTGAAGACCCCTTACAAACATAAACCCGGTAGGTGTCTTATTTGCATGTGCGGTTAAAGACAAAGCAATGATATTAAATAGCTTCAACTACTGTGAAAAGTACATGTAGGCATTACAAAAAGAAGCTCCCTTGTAACTTCAGAACTTAAAGCAACTAAAAGCTTTATGGATCAAGTTGTTCAGAGTCTCACTTCGGTTTGCAGCCCAATAGAGAAACTGTGACATCGCCCTCTTGCGTGCATGCCGTGACATTCCTGGCGTCTTGCTGGCCAATATTGTCTAATCAAAAACGCTGTTATCTTAACGTGTCGAGTGGTTTCCCCATACCTATCAAGTATATATATCACTGTACGTCAGTCTTTGCCAAATAATCGTTGCGAGAAGCCCTCATCTTTTATTATTTGTTGACTTTGAAATCAACTTCAAATCACCAACTTCTGGACTTGGGACCGCAGGAGAACGTTCGTTTCATTACAAGCAGGAACGCACAAGTGCCCACCTTTATCAAAATGGGTATTCTTGCACGTGCTACGAGAATGGAACGATGATACAACGCGCGGCTGTGCGGTACATGTATACACCTGTACTGGGTACATTGGCCAACCATACTCTGATGTTCATGCAACGATGGTAAAACGAACTAAAATTTTTACTCGACTTAAAACTGAACAACAATTTCTGCTCAGTTTGAAGTAACACTTGGCTGACACTCTGTGTAAAATTCGGCTCTGCTAAGTGCATACTCCATCAGCCAGTATTGTGTCAGTGGGCCTGTGTTAAATCCATCACTGGTAGTACGTTCCTGTAATTCACTAGATCGTGCGTTGTAGCAGGATTCTCTTGAACCAGCCTAGCAACGACCAACAATTAGCTGCAGTTGGCTTAGCAACGGACTGGCAACCGCAGTGCCCGCTGTGGCCTTGGGCAGAACGGATGAGCGCCCATGAAAAGGCATCACCAATCCGGGGGAGAGACTGCTTGCAGTTGGATTGTGTCCCTGAGCTTTGGTAAACAGTCGGAAAAAGCTTCCCCCGAAAGCCGGTCCAGGCCTTTTGTACTCTCTACAGGTGGGTAGAGTTTGACGCACTCGCACGCAGACAGAAATCTGCAGCGAGGCCATCGCCACTTGTGAGGACTGTGTTCGTAGTAACGAAGGTATGGCATCTGTCGACGCGGAGTCGGCAAAGGCACCGGAGATGATGGGCGCCGACAACAACGCGGTGAGCACGGAGCTTACTGCTGATCCAGCTGCCGCTGAACTCAGGGAAAGCGACATTTTACCCGGAAAGGAATCTATCCAGTTGGTACCACAGTCGACTGCCATCCAGAAAACACCTGCCCTGTGTACAGCTACTGCCAAGTGGAAATCGAAAATATCCAGCGCTAAGGCTTCTGAAGTGTTACCTTCAGGGGAGAACAAGCCCGCTGATATGGAGGATGGCGATGCAAAAACCCATCCTCTTTCTCCAAACGCGCCAGACATAAAGGGGGACACTTCCAAGGACGAGGGATCCCCTTTAGTGGGGCCGTCTTCGCCTGGCCATCAGCCCAATGGATCCGCCGCTCACCACGGGGAGGCCAACAAGATGATACGACCCTCCATATCCATCACCGAGGCGCCGCAGGTGGGGCGGCCGCCCAGTCGCATCTCGGGCCGGGCGTCGGCCTCCTCACTGTCCATGCTGGCCACCGAGTCGGGCAAGCTGCTCCAGGCCGTGCCGTTAGCAACGGGAGGACCATCTGGGCAGCAGCAGGACATTCAGTTAGCCACGCTGAGGATCAATAACCACTCCTTACTGGCAGCCATTCCGTACATGCACGTCGGACTGGCTTACATGTGTCTCATCCTCAACATCTTTGTACCCGGCTCCGGTAAGTGCATGTCCTCGAATCTTCGTTAGCCTATAAGTATCTTGGTGCTGTCACCATTATAATTTGTGACGATCAATGACTACTAATCGAGAATTCATATGGTTAGCTGTACATGTATATATAGTTGCTGATACTTTGTGTGTAGAGTGTGGATATCTAGACAAAAAAAGGACTAATTCAACTCGGTCATCCCCAAGCATCGAACGTGCGCACGTCCCACTGGTCAACATTTCCCTGTATTTGTACAAAAATCATTTTTTCTCTTTTTGTGGTTTAATTTAAATTTGTTCCCTTTGAGCACAGAGCAAGCTTTCTGAAAAACAAACTGAGTTACAAGGAATGGGCAGATCTTTGTACAGGCTTCCTCGCTGGGCTCAATAGACTGAATATTTTAAGATACAACTAAATTTTTCCTAACAGTTAAGAATGACAGATATTTCTCCAGTTTTGGTTATTAGCGGTTTCAATATACTTCTGAAAGAATACACAACTGATACATTATCAAAGACTCAGACTGTCCACGATTTAATTCACAGTTGAATGGATTTGAATAGCAAAATACTCCTAAATATACCAACTTTTACGTGGACGTATACATTCAAAATGAGTCGACTCGTACCCGAGTTAACTCGTACCCAGGTCAGACCCAAAATCTATATAATTAGCCACATAGGCCTACTCACTTCTTGCCCTTTTCCAAAAGGAAGTTTAAAAAAGAAGAAAGAAGAACCTTTATCAGTTACTTTGCCGACACTGTTGCCAAAAAAACTTACAATTTAATAATAAAAACGATATGGAGTTTGAAAATAGAATCCAACCCGTCCAAGACAAGGGCTAATTTGGGACCCCGTCATATCAAGACTACAACGTTGGTCGTTCCAATTGAAGAACTTTGAATACGATGTGCCTCAGGCGACATTTTTGCTTGTATATACGCCTATATGCCTCGTAGTCCAGGCCAATCATACCGACAATCTGATTCTTTGACTACAAAACATGTATACCGACGGAACCTGATAAAGAGCATTTGTTGGCAAATCTTTCAAACCTGAAACTTTATGGTGTACAATTATGTCGTATAAAACACCTAAGGGCGTATGTGACTTGGCTATGCGTGAACTTTGCACATGTTGAAGTTCATAACGTTTCCCGAATACAGGAAAGATATATCCATGTTTGTTCGAAATGGTATTTTTTCCTGATAATTTCCGGCTGTTGTGACACGAAATGCAAAAGATCATCACAGTTGATTTCTTTCAACAGTTTTAGAGCCTCGAATTACTTGGGTAATCGGATTAAGTATAAGTCGCCAAAAACTCTATGTGCCTGAACTATTTTCAGAGCGCGATCTACCAGATTAAATTAAGTCCTTTTCGAACCAGCAGAGAAGCCCATTGGGCTGGTCCAGAAAGACATCCACGACGACTACATTAGGACAGATACATTGTGGGCGATCTTAAGCACTTTGCTGATACTGAAGTGCAAAACGTTTTGCTTGCCATCAGAACAATAATCAAAACAAAATTTCGATAATTTCTTTAAATTATGAGATAAACGTGCCATCAAGTTGGCCATGTTTAACCAAAGACACCGAAAAAAGCAATCTTCTCTGTCTGTAATTAATCATTTTTATTGCGGCAGTTTACGACGGAATATGCGGACATTTGTCCTTTTGAGTACAAAGTGCAATAGTATAAGTCAAGTACACTGTACATGTACCATTATATGCGCATGCCTGCAAGTGCAGGCTTCCCCTGCCGTGGTTCATTTCTTGAATTTCGGCGCAAATTTTTGTTTTGCCATAAATAAATCTTGGTTTCCCATTATCACATTTCCAGTGCAACATGATACAGTCCAATTTTATACTCACAGCCTTAATCGTACGGTAATCACCCGATAGTGCACATAATTCAGTGTTTGCTGTTTTTGATTTTATCCTTTGGGCTATAGAGATTTATTATCAAAAAACACCTTTTAAACATTTTCAACTCGCTTTAACCTATTGTAGGGGTTTGTGTATGTCAAAATTCATTCCTAACTTTCACCATGACAGTGCCAAAATATTTTGGTTTCCTACTTTTAACAACTGCAACTTCAAATAAAGCGCTTCGTCAAAGCAGTGAATCGATGTGTTTACCTGATAAGGACGAGTATTACCATATTGTTGTGGTGGGTTTTAGTCAATTGTAAATGGCGAGTCGTTATTAGCCATGGAGTTAGCTCTGCGTGATTAAAAGTGAAATCAATCACAACATGTTAAATGGTCGCATGTTACATCGACGGTTACCTTGGTCGCATCACTGCCTGTGGCGAGGCTTCATCAAAATTTCATTTTCCTCAGCCTGTGCCTGAGCCACTTAACACAACGGCTGGCTAATTTGATGGGGTTCATTAAACGTGTTTATTACCACCAGGAGCCACATTCCTCTGTGCTCCATTTTTTCTCGAGCATTTGTTTCGATTCGTCCATTGCTCCCTTTATGCTATTAGCACATTCTCAGAGACGATCTCTGAGCAGGTACGAACTCTATAGGCTACTTAGGTAGCAACGCACTTGGATTTTGTTGCGAGATAATCTTTAACCAATTAACATACACACTCCCTGTCTGTAAAGAAACACATGAACATGTATACAAGGCATTACACTGATGCTTGTCATCGTGGAAGATTTAATAACTGACGCAACATAGTAGTAGCGAGCATAAATGGTGCAGCCACTATCAACAGGAATACACAGTGAATATCAGCGATGCTTAACTTTGAATAATGTCAAAACATGTACTGGCGTTTCACAATAGTGCGCCTCGAAGAGTTTGCAACATGTTGATCAATCAAAACACGTAAAATCTGTCGACCCAATGAGCGCTTGGAAAGGGTCGACAGATTTCGCGCTCTGTGATTGGTCAACGCGTTCAAAACTCTTGGAGGCGCACTCTTGTGAATCGCCAGTATATTCGAGAAAATAAAGTAACGATAACATTGAAAAGTGCGGGAAAATTACGTGAGTTATCAGCCTCATTTGTCGTATCATCGTACTGGGGTAATTAGTCTGAACAGACGTACCAACGTAATTCCTGACATCGGTCTGTCGTGACAGCCCATTGGTGCATAACCCTCACTGTACATCTTCGCCAAACAGCCAGGAGCAAATATTGAGCTTGCGCTATTTGTGAAAGGGACAGTAAATATTGACCATTTTGGCGGGAAAGGGATATATTTGCTCTACGTGTCTTACTCACTTCCTCGGCACTGGAAAAACACATCCTGCAATATCTCTGACTGTCAGTTGTTCTGATGATTCCTAAAACAGCTGATACAAGAGTAACGATGAAATAATATATTTTTTAAAGGTATAGAACTATCTTTTTAAAAATTCTATTCCAATAAGCCTTGGTTTCCATTCGTATTAAAATAGATGAGTGAAATGTTTACGTTTAATACAGTATTCAGAACGACAAGCCTATAGTTGTGGAGCATCATGTGTGTGTTTTGTGCGTGTGTTTTCACTGTGTCTTGCTGAATAAAATTTCCTCAAGTAAGATGACTGATTCAATCAATCATATTTAATGAGGCGGCGGGTTAGCGATTTCAATTAGGTATTAAATTTCTAGAGACTAATCTGTAATGGTGTAAATAAATGGTGTAAAGTCCGGTTTTATAATTTCCCTCGAAATTTTCAGGTTTCCTCACACATCATAACAATGTAGACACCTTCTAGAAATGTTAACAAGGATGTAATGACGGTGAAAGGCATATTGCTCATAAAAGGACTAAATTAGGTTCACATTACTTAAAACACATCAGGAACACATATGCTTGAATCGATAATGAAACTTTAATTCGTATTTTGTATTAAGCACGGGTGTGGGATAATAACGGGATAGCCAAATGGACCTCGTCACTAATAAATCCACTAATATAAAAGATGTAGTTCATACTACTTATGATGGAGAGGGGGCCAAACTGAGAAACGGCGATCTCGTGAGCACAGAAAAACTTACGAACTTACTAAAAATTCCACTTAAATAAGAATCTAATAGCAAAAACGATGTAATGGGTTTTTCTCAAGAAAAAACGAACAAAGTCAGGAAACCTGAGAGAAAATGATCATCGAAGTCACACGTACCCTATACATTTTCAATGGCCCGCTCACACTTCTTGCCGCCAAGGCCATTTGTGCGCATGCGTGCATAATTATGAATTTATTAGTGAAGAGGTCTATGCTGATACCTCAACGTCTAAACCTATCATCTGCACGCGGTGGTTCAAGCATTTCCATGGCAACGCACAATGAGCTACTCGAGCAGAACAAGTGGAACCAATTATCCGTTGCTATGATCTGCAGCGCATGGATACACAAACATCATCTAGTACAGGGAAAGGGCCAGTTATGCCTGCTGATTGATGTGGCATATGGCTCTTCATTCGGAACAATAATTTAAGGCTCGGGAGAATATAATGCTCCAGCGGCAACTCCCATTATGGCAACGATCATTAAGATCATAATAATATAAGGCTATGTATATATACGTCTCTTTTATTGTGATTGATATTACATGTAATTTGTGTAATTTATGTCCTCAAACATTGGGGTTACCACACAATGATAGCGAGCTTGTTCTTGCAACCAGTCTTCACAGACGGGAGAAATTGCGGCATAAATACACACTCTTCCTTTCAATAATCAAAAATACACTGCACACGGATGTAGCTTCTTACGTTTCCGTCGAATCTTAGAAATAAGAAAGACTTGCACGCTTTCAAGCGTTTGTCTTGGTTCATCAGAAATACTAATGGCGTATAATGAGGAAATTATCATTTTCTTTTTGTATTTCCCCTTTGTTGATGTTACGGAGTATAAACAGGCTCTCTGATGTTCCTCCACTGATGCTACCTACAAACCTCGTTCCAGTCTTCCCTGAAGAGCGCATATATTTTTGGATTGGGCCGGTAACATAAATACGCCATTGCTGACGCAATAGCTTGTTATAGTACTTGTGCCCTTAGAATTAGGCCTAATATATCCGGCTTCTTAAGGGAACACTTCATGCTTTAACAGAGCATTACCTAGCACAGTTGAAAATAGCCAAAAAGAAAAAAAAAGAAATCGAAAATGAAAAAAGATGAATTTTGTTACCTTAAGGACTTGTCTAGACGTTCCACATTCCTTGAATACACAGATTACCCGACATTCTCATTTTGGTGTGTAGGCCTATACGGGGCGGAGTCCACGCTAATTTCACCCGTTCCTTCATTACGAGCAATGCTTCTTTCTACGATAAACACTATCCGCCAACCACCTGCTTTCTGTTTGTCACTCTATCGACTTTGCAGGTATTGCAGTCCATCGCCATATCGACGTTAATTAAGTGCGGTTGTTATGAAAATCATTCTGCCTTTGTTATAGGCTTACAATTAGGCTTATTCTGCACCCGTGAGGGAATCTGTGTTTCCTGCTACTTACTCTGTACATTATATATGTTGGTGAGACCGTTGATACGGCCTCAGTTGTAGTCATTCGGGCTACGGTGAAATGTTTCAGCCTTTAGGGTTACTGCGGTTTCATTGATGAATTATATATCCTATAGGACCTTACATCTAACCATCACTGAATAAAAAGAGCTCTGTAGGTGCTTTCATTCCCAGCAAAAACTGGTGTTAATCAACACTTAAATCAAACCTTTTTGGTGTTTTCAGATGACCATACTGTAGGGTGTTACTTTAGCCCCGCTGGTGTTACTTTGCACACTTATAAGTGTTACAGTGCGCTGGAGGGTAGTAAAAGTAACACCAAATAGCACCAAAAATTTTTAACACCAGTGAAAAGTGTAGGTTTAGTCCTCTGGTGTTAAATTTAACACCCCAGTTTTTGCAGTGTTTCTTGATGTGTACGCCAATAATCTGTGTCCAATGTGGAGTGTCACTCATCACATGCAATCTGCCAAAGCACCACGAATTAACAACCAGGCGAGGATGTCAAGTTATATAAAATATGACATTATGCCCCTCCTGTCAACAGTAGCGTCCCCCCCAGCAGATGCCCTTGCCCCCTTGAAATCTTTGAATCATTTCCATTGCGTTTATATAGCTATACATGCATATGCACCTGCAGCTTATATTCTTGTGGTGCCCCCTTGAAAAATGTGTGCACCCAGGATGCCCCCCGGACATGCAGCCCTAGCTACGCCACTGTCTGTCCAATTGAATTCACGAATGTTCTGACACGAAAGCAGTACCAAGACAGAAGATTTCACCCCATGCAGATAAAAAAATCTAAATTTTTCATTCTTTCCAGGGATATGAGTTTGCAGCATGTGTGATACCATGCAAGGTAGCATAGCACTGCACACGCTTACACCTTTAACACCTTCACAGACGTGTCAAAACGGGCTCTCGAGGCTCAAAGGTCTGCTAAAACGAAGGTGCTATAATTCACTTAAGTTCTGGCTTGACAATCAAATTTGCAAGTGTAACGCTGTGTTCCAAATTGAAAATCGAGTAGACACACTCTAGTGACGGGAAAACGGCCGCTGAGGCTAGGATTCAAAACGATTTAGGGGAGATCTTGGGCAGGAGGAACATGTTAAAAAACACTATGGGTAGAGGTTTGTAACTAAAACTTGTCTCCTTTCACCCTCTCTGTTTTTAATACTTTGTACATTTACCAGCATTTAGTGTTGATTTACTTGTGTCTTGTTTATTTCATCGTTTGTTATGTTTTCCCCACTGTGGTATAGAGCATGACGATCATCCCTTCTAAAACGAAATGTTTAATTTTTTTAAGCGAATGCAAGTACAATTCGACCAATGTTTAGACAGACTTGCGCTTTTGCTGATGAATATAGGCCCCTGATACCGGGCAGTGTGATGTACATGTATATTCCATGCTTTACAATGGTATGTACCTGCACAGCACTTTGCAAACTTTGCTCATTTGCCGCAAAACTCCCTCAGAATCACGCGAGATTTGTATAAACTTCGATAAGTTGGTCGCCTTCCCCCCAGGTACCCTGATATCCGGTTTCAGTCTGTTCTGCTGCAAGGCGCAGCCCCAGCAACACACCAAGAAGGACGAGCTCATCAACTCTTTCTGCACCAACGTGTGCGTGGCCGTCTCACAGCTCTTTACCGTTCCCTTCCTGCTGGTTGGCTGGATTTGGAGTGTCACGTGGGGAGTATTCATGGTTCAATTTGCAAGTAAGTCATCGGGGCATAACAGTCTTATTGAATCTGTACCAGTCTTACATATTTTTATCCAGCGATGGAAGTTCTGGCAGGCTATTGCACTGAAGCCACGACAGTAGCAAAACATGAGAGTTTGAAACACTAGTTACATGTAACATTTGACCAACAAACGATACTTTTAAAAAGGCACTTCCTGTCGTTTTGGAGCGAAGTCTATTGTCGAAATATCCAGCCCTGGTTGGAATTCATATAGTGCCCTGTGCCTGGCTATTAAAAACTATCGTAAAGCGCAAACAAAATCAGTACATGTCCATGATCGCAGGAAGATTAAAGTCTATTGACTGGGTGAGAGATGGTTATGACTCACGGAGTAACGAGTGATTGAAGTCGTTGAAAAGAGAAGAACCTCAACCCCAAAAGAGGGGCAGTTTTATTGAATGTATATCACTTTGTCATGCTACATATCCTGGAGTGGTTGCCGACAACGCCAAGCCCAATCATTTCTCATTGCACACTACGTTTGAAAGTGTACTCTGCACAGGAAATGGCATAGCCGAAAGAAATCAACTTTCTTTGCCTACCGTTTTAATGGAAACTTCAGCAAGTTCAGCCAGTTCTGTTGAAGAATCAAATCTTGTCTGTGCTTGCGAAAGCACGGTTCATGGGCCCACCCCTCTTTTCATGAGCACTCAAAATTAATTTGTAGCGTTTATTCCAGATAAGGTTACTGCAAATCGAAACTTTGAGATATATGTGTATACAACTTCGCTTTGTATGACATTTACCCGAGATATTTGTTGCTTGCAACAGAAGTAAAATTATTCTGCTGATATCGTACACTTGAATGGTAAAATGAAAGCCATGTGGTTTGAGAAAAAAAAACGCTACAGAATTTGCATTTGCGTGTATGTGACAAATGACCTTCCTCATGTATCGGAGAAAATGTCTCTCTGAAATGCTTTGGCAAATCTGTTGGTCTGCATGCTGGGAATAACTGCCGTTTTCACTGTCATTTTTTCTCACAGTCGAATACAGAAACTACAAGAGAAACGAAAAGAAGATATCCACTGCGAAGGCCGTCACCAAGGCATTTATGGGGCGGTGAATCTAGACACGATTGACCAGACGGAGCGATGTCGGATACAGTGCTCCCACTTGATTAATTGGAAGACAGCAGTCTTGATGTCTGAATCACGGATTGTCTCCGTAATGTGGCCTCCACAAAAATAAACATTCTTGTCAAATACACTCCAAGACCTAGACGGATTTTCAAACAGATGGACTAAACCAGCGAGAAAATTACCAGACCAATCCACAACAAATTTAATGTTTGAGGATGCGCCGAGAAGAAATGTTCCTTTTGAATTAGAGGTTAATCTTTTCAAGCGGCGGGGATTGATGGTCTAGCAGCTGGAAAATGGCTCCTTTCAGGCTCGATCAGGTTTCACGAAGTACTGTAATAGGCCCAAATATCTGCCATTTGGTATACAGGGCCAACACAAAAAACTGTAGCATCATGATAAAGGTCTACAGGAGAATAATATCCATACAACTGCAATGAAGTGGCGTCTGTTTTGTTTCATGGACATAGGTCAACAATGACCTGTATATATTTACTGTATTACTGAACAGTCTTTGCATGAACTATCAACTGTGAAATAAAAAAGTGCAGACATTTAATAGATACGTTGGGTGACTAACCAAAATTTTCCAAGGTTTAAAACTAGTGTAAAAAATAAACGTCAGCGGCACAAAGCCAATTAATATCACTGATTACTTGCAGTACCGGTTTACTCTATTGGATTAGAGCCAACTATACTCGGTGGTCGAGTGGCTCACACATTCAGCTCTATCGTGCAGGAACTCGTGGGTCCTAATCTCATGTGAGGAAGCTGGTGATTATATGGGCAACTCTCGGTCAGTGTAAAGGGGAAACTTACAGCCAATCACAAATATCGCTGATCCACAATATAATAACAAGGGTCCAACTTGCACTGGGGAAGCTTAGGGCCTCATTTGGCTAGAGCCATCATCCAATGATCATACATGACAACATTCTGTCTTCTAATTCTAACCATGTCTCATGGCTCTCCTGTCCGTCTGCGATGCCACGAGTGATCATGGGCGTCGCCAGGAATTGTTTCCGGCGGCCGAAGCACTCATTTACCAAAGAACGGTGGAATCGATCAATTCCGAGGTATTTCAGAAAGTTGGCGATTCACGTCCCTTACCCCCTTCGCTTATCGTTTCCTTCTTTTCTTTTCCTTTCTTTTCTTTCCTTTCCCCTTATTGCACAGGGGGAATACGCCCTCTTGTCCTCCGCCAAGCCCATGCTGGTGATCCACCACATGATAATAATTATCTTTAATACATGTGCAAGAGAAGAATCCATCACTATCCTTTCAGGTAATTGCGATGTCATATGCGGGGGCACAAGTCTGAAATCCACCAATAGCATATTTGAACACCGACTCATGTTTGGATTTGCATTAGAAATACATCTCCGAGGCACAAAGCGTGCATTTACATTGTATATGTAAATATATATTGTCTCCCATATATTGTCACTAGTGAGATTTATGGGAGATCACAATTAATGATTGTTTAAAATTGTGGTGTACAGTACACAGTTGAAATGACGGTACATCAAATTTTGGATGGGTGAAGAATTTAGTCGGTTGTGTTTTATTAATAATTCAGGTAAAAGAAATATTTAACTCTTTTATTAATAAGGAAAACACAACGTGAGCACGTGCATGCCCACTTCCAATATAAACCCATAAGTTGGTAGGTAGAAGAATGGTATGTTTTGAAGATTTCGTTTAATAGAATAAGGTGGTATATAATTTATGACCACTCATGTTAAATTGGCTACATGTACAACTATATTATTCTGCAATACTGTGATGTTCACATTTAAAGTGCAGTATTAAATATACATGTGTATACTCTCATAGACGTAGGCAGTATTTTTTAAACTTGTATGTAAATGGATACACGTGTAAACATTTTGAAGTTATATATTTTGTGGATTTACATGTATATGTGGAAATAAGATATTCTCGAAACTGCAATATCAAGACGCTTCAGTTAATGGGTTTGGTAATTAGCCAAAACACAAGCCGAATCTTTGTGTCTTATTTCACATTAAGAAGTTTCAGTTATGATCGTTAAACGAAACACAAAACAAAACAGATTGAAAAACAGGACTTACTGTTACAATAAACCAACAGTTGGGTAAAACTGCTGTGAGAAAATTAAAGGGAGATTCGTTTCCGTCCCCTCTGAAAATCCAGCACATTCTGTCCTTCGCACAGTATATGTAAAATACTGCCCCCACTGCGTTCAGTCGTCTGTCGCAATGCAGAATAATCCCCGTCGTGTGTAATAAGCAGGAGCCGATCAAAGAATTTTCCAGGGGGGAGGGGGATCACTCCGGCGGTTGTTTTGTTCATGTCTCAATGTAAGTGGAAACGACACTGAAACATTGCGTGACATATATTTTTTACAATGGTGTTGATGTACACATATGAAGAATCGGCAGGATGCTATTTTGTTTTTAATTTACTTGCGTTTTTTATCATTTTCTAAATTTTTTTCTGTCTAAGAGTGGGGGAGGGGGTTCGACCCCACCCCTCATGGATCCGCACCTAATTAATTATAACTGAAAATGGTTACCGGTATCTCATTTACATCTATCTTTCACTTTTCCAGAAATGGGCACGGTTTCATCATTGCCCAGTTCCACGAAAACAGTTTATTACGCACACAGGAACGAATTTTCGGCCACCTTGCATTGTAAACAAAGCAATTATCTGACGCTGGTGCTTTCGTCAAAAGACCCATTTTACAAAAGCCAACAATAGCCAAGATACTGGGTAACTATATGGAGGCAAGTGAAACAACCAAATGTCTCCGTCATGAAACATGTACAGCCAAATAGTCAACCGCTACCATCCATGTCATATCTTAACGTTTTCATTAGTTTTGTTTCTACTGCGTTGCTGACAACAGATTACACACACCTGCAAGGCTACAGAGGGTTTGCATGACTGCCATCTTTCAGGCAAGTACTTTTGTTCCACATTATATACAAAGAAGGTTTCCCTGTGTTACAAAAGAGCTGCCATGCAAGATGGCTACCACGCAAAGCCTCTATATAATACAATTACATGTGTTTTCAAAAACAATCGACAATACAGGATAGAAGTCTAACCATCGACAAAACGTTTCAGGTTGCAGCTGTTCAATTTTTATTCCTGTTGACCACATCGTACAGAATTCGTTATAGCTTGGAGTAAATGACGTAAAAAACATATTAACGGACAAGTACTATGCATGAATAGGTTACATAAGGCATTACACAAACGAACTCTACAACCGAGGAACTAGATTTCATTAAGCTAAGCAGTCAGGTTACTAAATAACAGTTTTTATCGTGCAGTTCAAGAACAAGGATTCTAAAAACTGCTGCTGAGATAAATTTGAACATATTTTCTACAACCAGTTGAATAAAACTTAATTCGTCGAAGTTTAGTGTTAACAAAGCACTCGTTCTTAGGACATTCAAGAGCAAAACGTGTGCCACGATGTGCAATGGAGCAAAGTTAAAATACACTTAACAGAATGACTTTCATTAAGAACAACCAGAGCGGCACATGATATGATCGCCTGCTACATGGTGCCAAGCATTACAGCGGCAGTGTTCTCTTAAGACACCAACTTTACACATATACATATCCCTGCGGGATAGAAGGCTTGTTTCGATCAAGTTTCTTACAGAAAAGTCTATCTACCACTGCAAGAAATGAATTTATTTTAAAAAGGAAGAGACAATGCTTGTACATCTAACTTTTACATAAACTACTCCATGTAAATACATCATTAAAATGAACTTGTGCTCAATGTCAAACTAGAACGAGCCACAATATTCTCCAAGTGCACTTTGCAACTGCGCTGCATTGAGGAAACAAGCAATGTATGAAATCCAAAAAGACGTCATGTCCACCGAGTTCTTAAAAACACTAATGGTTTACTGACAACATTACACGGAAACTACGCAAGAAATAGTCTGAAGAAATGAAAGTCTGATACCATTATTTGTACACAATAATTATAGCTGTGCTCTGCGGATCTGCATCTGTTCTCATTTGTATCTCGCCGTTTCTGTAACTTCTATTTCTGGCGTGATTAATACGGGCGATTCACAATAGTGCACCACCAAGAGTTTGCAACACGTTGGCCAATCATAACGCGCGAAATTTGTCGACCCTTTCCAAACGCGCATTGGGTAGACAAATTTTGCGCATTGTGATTGGCCAATGCCTCGCAAACTCTTGGTGGCGCACTATTGTGAAACGGCAGTATTCTTGCTTGACCGTATAATGAAGTGCAAATGATTCACTAAGGTATCAAACAAAGCAGTACCGCTAAATTTGTTAAAAGCAACTTATTTTCCCGCTTTTTTACCAATGCAAACATAATTCTGTTTGAATTCTGAGAGGCAGTAGGCCACACATGATTTCAAATATTCAACTGGCTGTTGATGGAGTAAAACTTGGCATGCTTTATTGTACAGGTAATAAGATTTTTGTTAGTGCAAGGTATTTTGACAACCAAAGATGAATGTCAAAGACGAATCTAGGGATAATTCAGTGACAATACCATCCAATCTAACACTACAAAACAAGTTAAGGACAGTCTTTATGGTTTTGCTTTTTCACAAAATTCAAATTCACAGGTTGACGGACCCTTCATTTGCAATCAGCACCGAGAAAATAACTAAGCTAAAAATCCCACAAAATTATCTCTAGAATTCTAACTAAAATTAAAAAGTCTATGGAGCAGAATCAACTTTGACAACTTATGACCCTCTGTTGATGCCATAGGTAACATTAAGTGCTGAGGAATTTAAACATACAGTCAAAAAGACTGGGGGCAATTCTTACATAGAATGGTCTCATGAGGGCAACATTTAAACAAACACCCAGAGCTGTGTATAGATGGAGATGAGCAGCTTCAGATTTTGGAGCCAAAATGGCTGCCCATTGTGTACAGTAGAGTGTACTGTGCTGTCCGTGTTCACTGGTGCATATACCTGCCAGTTTGTTTCCGCTAACAGTAACACTCATGTCGCAACCCTCTACATATTAGACCTGCAAACCCCCAAGACGTTTTACTCTCAGCATTACTTGCCTAATAATGTACACCTCAAGGTCAAATTTCTACAGTGAAGCTATGAGAATGAAATGTCATGATTTGGACTCCAATTCAAACAGTGGCGGTCGTGGACAAATGGAGTTTAAAAACAATGTCAACTAACAAGTAATTACCTAGTAAAACAAAAACCATCGAGACAAATTTTGCCTGGGCGGGAGTTCTTGCAGAAGCTTCAAATTTGAAATGCTGGATTATCTGGACTTTCGTGGTTCAATATCAGCAGGGCCACATGTTTCTGACTGACAGGTTTATGTTGCATGGGGGGCATTGGAGAAGCACAGCTTGAAGGTGTAAGGATACTTTCCACCTACAACCAAAGACAGAAGAACAATACTGTTAAGTGTAGGAAATTAAAAGCTACTTAGGCCAAACAAAGAAAACAGCTGTTTCTGGTTACCCAACCCAACCTAGAAAATCATACAGAACCTATATCTTTTGATTCGACAAATCAATAAATATGAAAACTTATGGTGCCTTGGCCCCAGCCAAATTTTGTCTACATCGTCCTGTACATTGTATTGTTAAATTTTTTTGGCATGAGATGGACAGCTCTTGTGTGTTTGTAAAGTAAACCCCGACTAAGTCAGCATCGCGTAACCCGTCATATCGTCTAATTTTTTGTTTCACCTTACAGGCTTGTAGCCTCTGCTAACCGCTTTCATAAATACAAAGCTAAAATCATGAATGTAAGTCTTTAGGTTACCATTTGTATTTCAGTGTCCCGATTCTCTCTTAAAATCCACAGGGCTACCAACAAACAAAAGCCACTCATGTTTGATTTCTATAAGGTCCCAACAGAAGTAAAAAAAAAACCTGCGGATAAAGCGCTTATACAGAGAGACCAATGTCTTTTGCAGGGTTCGGAAAAAAGAATGTTCAGGCCCAAGTTACACTACACTCTTTTTCAACTACATGCACTTGGGGCCAGCCTTTGGTAAGGTGAAGGATGGGTCAGGAAGCGGACTTCCCTACTCACCAGGGTTGTCCATATTGGTATGGTTTGCCAGAATCATGGCTTCCATGGCAGTGGCTCGGTTCTCCCACTCCACTAGGCCGGTCACACTGCGCTCCGCTGTGGCATAGAAAGAAACACATAAGCACAGCTCATCATCAAATACGCCATCTTCCTGTGTTAACCCTCCTATGCTGAAGTCACTCTTTGGGTCATTTGGTGAACACCTCAAAGAAGCACAGCTGTGTTGTGTTGTGCACTGCACCAAGAGTCCCTCACAGGAATATCAGATTGCACTTTTGTGCTGCCAAACAACTGTGCTTCACTGTTTCATGTGCATAATTGTGCAGTAAACCAAATGCA